GAACTCTGCAATTCATCAATAGAGAGAGTATTAAGATCTTTAGATTCTTCAATCGAACAAACAACAAAGTTAAATTTTGGAGTCAATGATCAAGAATTTTCTCAACAATGGCAACGTCTTCCGTCTTATCTTCGTGAATCCGTAGCTTGTTTACGATTGCCATTGTCCTTGAGAAGAAATCATTAACTGATTATCCTGACTTCATGTGCAAAGTCTCAAAATCAGTTCGGAGTGTCTGAAGTTGCACATGTTTTGATCTTGCTGATCCCTGATACTTTTTCTTCATAGAATCACAGATGTCTTTGGACGCGTTCTTGCAAAGAATGGTTTCAAGTGTTGAACGATCAATAGCTTGAAAAATGTTATTCTTTGCTTTGAGATCCTTCAACTTTTTCCCTTCAAGTTCCAACCGCTGCACTTCAGTCACCACAGTGCCAGTTGCTAGTTCTGCTAAACCAGACTCTACGACTTACCAATACTCTTTTGATCTCAAAACAAATTTATCAAAGCGTGGGATTGCTACTTGAACAGAGCTTTCTGAAGTCATCTGCTGCTTCAACATCAAAATATACAAAGATAGAGACTCTGCCTCACGAAAGCTTTACTGCCTCTCTTACTTTTCACGGGACTCTGTACTGCTGACTTTAGCTCACTTTTCAAACTCTCCTCACTATTTTGGCTCTGATACCACTATTAAATAAGTAAAGGACAAATAGAAGAAGACAAAAAGAATTGGAAGAGAAAACTGTGTTTCTACCGTAAATTGTTCATTGAGTAAACATCCTTTAAATAGACAAAATTACAATAGATAATACCAAGAAAATGACAACAAACTCTGACCACTAACTTAAATATGTAATCATGTAAACTTACTCCTATAGACTAGGCCAAAGCTAGCCACGTACTATAATAATAAAACTGAAACAAATGAATGCATGACAGTGCCTACGGAATAGGACAAAGAAAACAACCCATTATTAACCAAGTCATTCAACACTTTGAACCAAAATCCTCAATCGTAAATCCAATCCAACTTCTAATATGTCTGCCAAAAAAAAAATAGAATCGCACATGTAATCAATCATTGAGTTCTAATATGGCAAGAAAGAGTAATAACCAAAAAGGTACCACACATACCATTATATCAAGTTTAATTGTCACGCATTATTAAAAAAAATCAAAAAATCACTAAAGTTTGTAAACAATGCAAGATGGTAAAAGGTTCGAATTGCGAAGAATGAACACTTTCATTCATCAATTTACACCACAACCTAACTTGAAATTTTTGATTCAATTGAAAATCCAAATTGCAAAGATTAAGACATACTAATATTTGAAATGCAACAATATGATGTTAGGCGAGAGGGAAAAAAGTAGGAGCCAATCTTTATTTTTTAGGGTTAAAAAGTAGAACAATCTTTATTTCTTTATGGTTAGAGTCTAGAGTTTTAAATAAATTACTACCCAAATTAGGGTTTTCGGGTTTTGATATTTTTTTTTCTACCCAGCCTATATATTGTAAATACAAAATTATGTAAAAATCGGTTCAATTCGAACACCCATAATTTTGGTCCAGGAATCAAAAATCGAACAGGATATATATATATATATATATATATGGAACTAGACCGAAACCTTCGATTTCAATTAAAATGCACAACCCTAGTTTTTAAGTTCATTTCACAAATAAAAGGAAGATTCAAACGCAACTTGGTTCATCTAGGCTTAATTCAAACTCCCATAAGCCTAAATTGACATGTGAAATGAGCTCATGAACTGAACCAATCCATGTACTTACCAACCTTTTAGGTAGGTCCAGAATAATTTTTTTTCCTTTGTGGGGAAGAGGGAATTTAATAATATTTAGTGAGAAAAAATATTTTAACTCGAGTATTTGGGAATTACATCGATAAATAGTTTTTATAATATGTAAAAATAAATTACTAAACCGACCACCAAGTTGCCCGAATGGAATCCCAGGTTAAATTTCTTGTCTAGCGTATTCATTTTAGTATTTTGCCACATACGTCTTTCGATCCTCCAACGTCCAAAAAATCTCGTACCATGACGTATCTGGAATAGTAGTGAGCATTTTTACAAACAAAAGTCCTAAAGAAAAGCAATCCCAATCCCTCCTAGCCTAGATCAAAGATCTCCCCGAATGCTGTAGCTAAATTGATCGTAAAATAGGGAAAATCAGCCATATTAAGATTACCTTTTGGACATTTTTTTTCATGGCCACATATCTTTCCGACTAAGAATAACCACGTTCGCATAATAGAAACATCAAACTAGAAGTCCAAATCGAAGATCAATTCCATTTGCAATATCATTTCTGATTCATCAAAGTGCTTTATTTTCTAAATTATTTCCATATTGAACATTCAACATATAAGTGTTCCGAATTAAATCTCTTTAGAAAGAAGATCTTTTGTTTCATGGTAGACTGGTGACGAGCCAACTTATAATTGGCTCAAACTTAGGCTACTTTGAGACACTAGTCACAAAGGACAGTAAATTAGTGAATCGTAAATGAAAATTGAGAAATAAAAAAAAGGGTAGTGCTACACGTACTCCATAGACTACTACATGAGTTACTTCCTGTGCTGATATGGTTACTCATTGACTATTAATACAGCAATTAAAACAAAAACCAAGTAAAAGGCGCCATTTTAGAAACTCCCGTCATTTTACAATCGCATCCTCCTCATCCGCTCTGAAAAAGCTCCCGGTGAAAATGGAGCAGCACGTCGCCGACGATTTGGACGATGGCAACCCACGTCGACGTCGGCGAACCCATTATTGTTCTCCCCACTTGAGTTCAACGTGGAGACACTCTGTTACGCAGACGGAGATGAAGGGGAAGTCGACAACTCTCACACCGACGACGACATGGGTAAGATGTTTTCAGTTTAATCTTCATTATATGGCCAGAAGGTGACATCATGGGTTCAATTTAATTTTCAATTTAAACTCCCATGCCGACAACTCGAAAAAGGTTTCTACCATTTCTTAATTCAGATTGAGGATTGGAATGCAGTGTGAAGGGTGGTTAATAGGAACAATGTGACTGCTTGTTGAATAAATGTGAGAATAAAGAAACAAGGTTGGTTGGAATGAAGTATCTGAAAATGGGAATTTGGAAAGAATGGAGATGGAGATGGAGATGGAGATGGGGATGGAGTACATTCTGAAGATGGGAGGTGCTGATGGTTGTTGCGATTGGGTGCAGGGGGTGGTGAACTAGCTAGACAGTAAATTGATGGTTGTTTATTGTAAATTTAAAGACTGAATATAATACTGAATGTTTACCAGAAGAGCTAGACTAATTTTCAGCATGTTCTAATGATACTATACATTAAATCAATTTAAAAAAAAAAAACCAAAATAATCCACTGCATAGAAGATATTNTATTATCACATTTTAAGTTTTTAAAAAAATTAAATCAATCCAAATGGATATTCATATCGTGAAATATCGAATCAAACAAAAAATTGTAGAAAAATAAAGTTCGAAAAAAGGATATTGAAATAGGGTTGGGATTGAAAAGAAACATAAACAATCACGACTTTACGTTTCACAATTAATGTAAAATTATTTTTGATATTTAAAATTTGTCGATCATACATTTATCATGACCGCATTTCAATATTTTCAACAAATTTTAAATCGCTTAAAACGAATATTTGTAACTTAAAATACTGAATAAAACGTTAAAAAAAAAAAAAAAACTGGCTTAGACGGCTTAGCCGTGCCGAGATGGCTCGGCTCGGCTCCGCTTATGAACATTAACCACCAAGTGACTATTTTATTTATGCCAGAAAAAATGGCTCTTTTTGAATAAAGTTTTTTTTTTTTAATTGAACACATGCCAAATCCACAACTAATTTTTGCTACTTATATAATTTTTTCTAAAGAGGAAAACTTATATAATATGAGTGTTACATGGTCATTTACGTTCAATTAAACGATTTTTCTACGTTGATACATGGATACACTATTTTAAAAGTTGAGGATATAAGTGTAAACCTTATACTAACGAAAGGTTGAGGATCCTGTCAGAATTTATCATGTTTGTCCCAAATCCTTTTTTGTTATAACAGGCTTTTTTAGAGGAGAAGATTAAAAGGAGAATAAGTTGAAAATAAATAAATAAAGTTGTTAAAACTTAAAAGAGAGAAAATCAGGAGGAAAAATAAATAAATAAGCAATTTAAACAAAAATAATCACGTATTCAAGAACGAGTATAACAATTATTTCGTCTTGATCGCACCCATAACCACTTGGCCTTTCTCTCTCTTTCCACATATTTTCAGATTTCAATCGCATAAACCAAAATTCAAAAAGTTCAATTCTTTTCATTCCTAGACTCTCTTTGCTTCAAATTACCAGTGATACTTCATGTAAGCATCAATTCATCACGATTTTACCATTTTTTATTCATTCCTGGGCCTGCGTGTATATACTTGTGTTGGGTTTTTTATGTTACTGTTTCGGTAATTTTTCTTAGCTGATTCTGAATGGAGAATGTTTTCTGGGTTTTGTAGATCATGCCCAGATCTTGCTAGTTCCTGATCTAGCAGAATAATTTGGGAATCTTTGAATGGGAAGGGAAGGAAAGCCTAGGTGAGTTTAAATCTTGTTTTTTTGTATTAGAGAACGAAGAAGTCAAAATTGTAGAATCTCGTTCTTTTATTTACTGGAAATTAATGTATTTACTGAAAAATTCTTGGTGATTTTGCTCAAGGTGCATTCAGTTTATTTTTTTCTTCTTAATCCTTTTCCTTTTACAGATATCGTTCCCTATAGGCCAGTACAAGTGGAAAAGATAGTAGTTTCTAATAAACTGCCTGTGGTTCAAATTGTATTGATGGTAGGTTTGCCTCATGTTGTGCACATTCTTCGCCGTTGATGATGTGTTTTTCATTGTATTCTAGTATTTTCATTGTAATGCGCGGTTGAGTTCACGAGAAGAAGATTGTGATTTGTAGTTCTAGTGATGATTAAAAATATACTCAATAAGCTCCCACGGAAACAAGGCAAGTTAGTAGAAAATCGTGATGGAAGATCCTCTACTTTCTCTTCAAATGTTTCAACTACTTTGAGGAACAATAATAACCCAGGTTCTCGGTCAGGCAATTCAAATGCTGGATCTCATTCTGGGAGCAATTCAACTTTGAATTCCAGTATAAATCATGGAAACAAAATTCCTGATACGTTAAATACGAAAGGGAATGGAAATGCAAGAGCTCTACCATATGAGTTGCTGCCCGGTTTTAAAGATGTCCCAAATGTGGAGAAGCAAAACTTGTTAATCAAAAAGCTGAATTTGTGTTGTGTAGGATTTGATTTCACTGACCCAACAAAGAATTTGAAAGAAAAAGACATCAAACGGCAAACCTTGGTGGATATTGTTGACTACATTACTTCTGCAAATGGGAAATTCCCAGAAACTGTTATGCAAGAGATAGTACGAATGGTATCCATAAACTTGTTCCGGACACTCTCTACACAGCCCCGTGAAAAGAAAGTCTTAGAAGCCTTTGATTTGGAAGAAGACGAGCCCTTGATGGATCCTGCATGGTCCCATTTGCAAATTGTCTATGAATTCCTTCTCAGGTTTGTGGCTTCACCAGAGACTGATGCAAAGTTGGCTAAGCGGTATATAGATCACTCTTTTGTTCTAAGGCTGTTAGATCTATTTGATTCAGAAGATCCCAGAGAAAGGGAGTATTTGAAGACTGTTCTACACCGTATATATGGAAAATTCATGGTGCACCGTCCATTCATTAGAAAAGCAATCAATAATATATTTTACCATTTTATTTTTGAAACTGAGAAGCATAATGGAATTGCAGAACTGTTAGAAATTTTGGGCAGCATTATAAATGGATTTGCTTTGCCATTGAAAGAAGAGCACAAACTTTTCCTTGTTAGGGTGCTTATTCCGCTTCACAAACCAAAGTGCGTACCCACATACCATCAGCAACTATCATATTGCATCACGCAATTTGTGGAAAAGGACTGCAAACTTGCTGATACTGTTATAAGGGGCCTATTGAAATATTGGCCAATCACAAACAGTTCAAAGGAGGTTATGTTCTTAGGTGAACTGGAGGAAGTCTTGGAAGCAACTCAGCCTCCAGAGTTCCAGCGCTGTATGGTTCCTTTGTTCCGCCAGATCCGCCATTGCTTGAGCAGTTCACATTTTCAGGTTGGTTAGGCTCGAACATTATCCTCTTACTCTTTTCCTCTCATCCGAATTCCCAGAGTTGAATAAGAGTGATGTGGGATTAGTGTGAGGAGATTTTATAACACATCCTGTTAAATTGAAGTTGTTATGGATTCACATGGTTGATACTAGTACACTGCAAATTTCTTTTTCGATATCAAGTTTTTCTGGTCAAGAAGTGTCCACTCCAGACATTTGACTATTTTGACTTCCTGTCATGTCAGTGCATATTTATTACGAAGTCGATTGCTATTATTTCTGTCTCCTTTCTTTGGTTCTTTTATCTTCTTGTTTGGGGTTTTCCTGCAAGGCATATAGGAACTTGCCGATTTTTGCTGTTACGAGTCCTGACTGAGCACACCAGCAGCTCTGTGTAGAATATATAGGGTAAATAGCAGCAGAGGTCCCCCATCCTTTGATGCACTTTGCACTTTTGCCCTAAACTTCAGATCTTCTCCCAACCCACCAGTCCCCTCCATCACTGCCTTCACCATTGTCGCTACCGCCAACCACTTCCATCTTCACCACAATAAAATCCTGAACCGTTGACAAGTCATTTTGTACCATCTTAACATTGATCACTTTATCTATTAAATTATACTTCAATTGATAGTTCATAGAAATTCCCTGCTTTCATAACAGCATGTTTGGCAAGTGGTTAACACTTGCTAAATGTCAAACTACTTTTTATTCACTTATTTTGTGAGACCTACAAGTATTAGTCACCTATCCACAACTCATTTATATATTTGTTTATAAACAGGACTATTTATAAACACTTGCCAAACATATACTAAGTTCCCAAATTTGTTACAATGCCTTTTCCACTAGAAATTGAAGAAAATAAGGGCTTAAAGACAGAGAAAACATAAAAGAGTGGTAGGGTTAGTTCTATGGCAATCTTTGCATTGTTGTGTAGTGTAATGATACATGAGAGACTAGCTTTTCTATAACATCCCTATTTTCTATTTGATTTCTATAATTTATTTTTTATTTTGTTTTTTTTTTCCAAACAAGCTTTCTGCATGGATGAAGAAAATTTTCAGTTTTTGAAAAGTTTGGTGTTTTAAGGTGATTTGGTTGGAAGGCAGCAGTGATTATCGGTGGTGGTTTGCATTAGGTTAGGTGGGTGGGCATCAATTGGAGAAGAGGAATTTCTTTTTCATTTTTTCATTTTTTTTTTTTTTTCAATTCTTGATTTTTATTTAATTTTTATTTGAAAGGCAATGGTAAAATCATCTTTATAATGATATTTTAGCTTGTTAAATGAAGATAAGGGTAAAATTGTCCATTAGAGATTATAGTGCTACTAAAATGAGAGGTTGGGGACATAAATGCTCCATTTTGAAGGTTGTGGACAAAAGTGCAACGCGTATCAAAGGTTGGGGACTTCTGGTGCCATTAATTGAAATATAACGAAGAAAGGAAGAAAATGAAACGAGTAGAGGAGAGTGTAATGGTGAAAATAAGTTTTAGTTCCCACTTCTTTAAGGCTCTTTATTAATTTTTTATTCGTTGTACTTTTAAACTTCCAATGATGTTGTCAAGTGGATGATTTAGTCGTGTAAATGTTTGCCTAGGCTATTGCCCAAGGCCATCTAGGCATATCGAAAACTTGCGTAATGAAAGAAAAGAAAAAGAATAGCTATTATTAAAATGTATATCTCCACTTATTTAGAATCGCACCACTTATCGAGGATTAAAATACTTCTTCAGTATTGAGTAATCCGTTGCTACTACTTTTCTAAAAAGAAAGGAAAGTGTAATATCGTAATAATTAGTTATCTGTACATTCCAACTATGATAAGGTTACATTTTATAATGAGATACCCATTCCCACCCAAGAATCTCTCATTCCAAAGTCTAAACATTAGCTTGGGAACCTTCTTACTCTCCTGAAATAGCCTTTTCTTGGATTCTGTTGCTCTGTTATATTAATATATGTACTAGCTATGTGAGAAAGAAAAGCTATATTTTTATTTCATGTAATATTTCTGTAGCTTGCTCTTTTTTTAACTGTTTCAGGTTGATCGCTTGAAAGGAAATGTAGAGTACAAATAAATTAAAATATTTGCTCCTTGATTTAGATTTAAATTTCAAAATCTTCCGGTCCTCTTTTGAGAATTATCCGATGTGTGAAATTTGGATAATTTTCTCATGTCGAAATGCATTTTGCATAAAATAAGGCTGTTCATGTCTTTGCTGCTAAGATATGTGAATATATAATTGAGATTGGAACTGGGGTTTGAGTTCAACACTACAGTATTTTACCCCTTATGGAAGTTTGCATATAAAAAGTACGGGGTAAACGAAATAATAATGTTGTATTACTTGAATCAATCTCATTGTAGCTTATATGTTCATGCAGTTGTTCTTCCACGATCACATTGTTTGATTCTTGTTTCTTCAGGTGGCAGAGAGAGCTTTATTTTTATGGAACAATGATCATATCGAGAACCTGATCAAACAAAATCACAAAGTTATTTTGCCAATTATCTTCCCTTCCTTGGAGAAGAATGCAAGAAACCACTGGAATCAGGCAGTGCGGAGCTTGACACTAAATGTTCAAAAAATCTTCTCTGATACCGATCCCGAGATCTTCGAGGAGTGTTTACTTAAGTACCAAGAAGATGAAGCACAAGAAGAAGAAATCAAAATAAAGCGTGAAGCCACTTGGAAGCAGTTAGAAGATATTGCTGCTATGAAAGTTTCAAGTAACGAACCAGTGCTCGTGCCTCACAGGTTAAGCACACACACATTGTCTGGCTAGAAACGTTGGGACCTTTGTTGACCTGTTACTGTCTGGAATTGCTAATTTTAGTGCTGACCAAGAATACATAGCATGGGAATGGAGGTGGAATTGTCTCAATTGCTTGTATTCTTGTGCTCCTGTTTTGGCCCATCAACCGAACAGGGTGAAGGTCACTGCTTCCAACCATTTTCAGATTTAGAGACTATGGCAGTACATATATAATTGGGTGACAAAGAACTGGAAAGTTGAAGGTTTGCATTGCACTGTTACAACTAGGGAATTTGGTACTGATATTGGCCTTTTCATTGTTAGAACAGAGCATGATGATGTTAAAATTAGTATATATTTTTTTTGTTTTGTTGAATATTTTTGAACTGGGTTTCGTTTATGTACTCTAATCTGCAATTATATATAATTATGTTTATCATAACTATTTGTGAGAATCATTGCCTGGCATGAAATGATAACGTAGATTCTTTTTATGTGCATGTTTGGCCGTGCTTACTTTTAATAGCATCTCAAAGACTCTATTTTTAAAATATATATTCTAAAATTTAGAAAGCATTTATAAATTTAGAGAATACAAAATTTTTAAGTACTTTTAACGGATTCTTTAAATTTAACACTTCGTTTTACTACTCTCAAAAAATATTTATTATTTTCATATCTTTTATTTTCACTAGCTTTACTATAAATTATTATATTATATTTCTCTATTGGAAATTGAAATACCATTTAATTATAGAGAATGGGTTAAAAAGTCAAACTCACTCTCTAAATTAAATTGTTAATTTAATTTAAAAAGTATCTTGAAGTATATTTTTAAGGATTGACTTTTTAAAATAGAGAGTATTTTATGTTTAAATATTTTTTTGGAGATACTCTAAGTTATCTATTTCTTGTGTGATAATTAATTATCGAGAATAGATTTTGTAAAAACTGGTTTTTTTAGCCCCTTTTTGATACTTAGCCCCCTTTTGATTTTCAAGGAAGCTGCGGCTTCTAATGTATTGATACTTAGCCCCTTTTTGAACTCATTTTTTGAGAATAGATTTTGTAAAAACTGATTTTTTTTGGGAGAATGTCATTAAAAAGTAGGGAAAAAATTTTAATTTATGTTTAAAATTAATTTATTGCGAAAATATGTGATTGAAAATGAATTTGAAAATAAATAAATAAAATATAAGGGCTTGATTGTGTAGACGTAAAATAAAATTTAATTGTTTTGTGCTGAATTGAAGGTTATTTCAGAAGAGAAATGCTTGAGTTACAGTCTTTTTACACAGCCCTCTCACATGGTGTGGGTCCCACACCATGTGAGAGGGCTGTGTAAATTGCTGTGTACAAAGACTATACATTTAGCATTTCTCATTTCAGAATTGTACAACTGAAATGTTTGCATGACAGTGTTTGTTTCACATTTTAGCTTGCTTTATTTTTCAGTGAGAATTAAAGTGTCAATGAGCTTGCTTCTTTTGTTATTTTTGACTCGATTATTACCATCTCGATAAATTGTATTTCGTTACTTATATTGTCCACAATTTTCAGTGATTCGATTTCAATAAAACTAAAAAATATCCGAGTTGAATTATTTTTGAGTTGTTGTGAACATGATCATAAATAAAAACGTATTCAGCAATTAAACACCTAAACAAAACAATGAAAATTTATGTAATAATTAACCTTTGCAATTAAATTCCAACACTAAAAAATAAATTGCAAAAACATTCAAAAGGTGAAGGACCACCCTTGGATCTTTGGTGAATTTCACTTTTTTTTTATTTGCGTTATATTTTAATTGTACTTAATGTCCTCTGTCTTTATTTCTTATAACATTTATATCCTAACTTTTTTCATCTAATTTTTATTTCTAACATTTCATTAATTAATATATCTTATCCTTGATGTGGTATGTGTCAAAATATTTTGTTTTGGTGTATTAAATAAGGAAAAAGTGGTTTCTTGCACTTTTACATTCATTATTTTTTCAAAATTATGATGTGAAAATATTTCATTTTACTCATCTCAATGAAATTTTTGGATGAAACCGTCATGAGACGAGATTTACTGATTAATAGAAGGTTAAAGATAAAAATATATTGAAAAATTTAATGACGAAGTATTAAAGTGAACAAAATATATGACGCATTACAAAATATATGTCTTGTTAAAAATCTTGTCAAGAAAATTCAGTTGCACAAACTTGATCAAAGGAAAAATAGTGTGGCTGCTCCTCCTGATTTTAATTCTTGTATCAATTCATCCATGTCTAGTTCGCCAATGTCTTCAATATTACAATTTTTGATGAACTATGTCGCATGTTGTCTTGTATAGTCTTCTAATAAAACCGTCCTCATACGAGATATTTATCAACCTTTGATAACTGTAGTAACATTTTGATTCGAAAAATAGCTATGTTGACGTTTTCAGGAGTCTCATACATATAAGAGTAATATTTTGATGGCAAATATTTTGTATGTTATGGACATTCATTACACAAAGAATATGTCTCGTTAAAACTTTAGTAGGAGACACTTGTGAAAAAAATCCTAATGAAAGAAAAAGTGTATATTATTCTTTTAAATACACTATAAAAGTTGTTTCTTTAAAAACTTTGCCAAGAAAACCTAACGAGACAAAACCTTGATCAAGAAAAAAAATAGTACAACGCATATTTACTACCCATCATAATAATAACGCTTTAATTATATGTTTTAAGCATAAAATCCTTCAAGGATAATATTAAAACTATACAAGATAAGTTGGCTATAATCACATTTATACATGCATATCAAATTTCGTATATTGTCATACTAACAAGATAGAGATTTGTGATTGCATCCACCATAAGATAACTTATCTATTTATACAAATCTTTGCAAGAAATCATTTGGCTAAGAGTCATATTACATATTACAACTTTATTTTGTTTATTTCCATTTCACATAAGTATACACGTTTAAGTGTTCGGACTGTGGATTCAGAAACTTCAAGTTCCTCGAGTAAATTAAATCTACTAGGATTGCGTCTATTTATTTTGGCCAATCTTTGCTTCAATTGATATGTTTTGATGAATTTATTTCAATTTCTCGCTATTCATAATATGATGCAGTACATCATGTGCAAAAGTGTTGACGATTTTTTTTTCTATTCTATTTATTTTCTCATAACGACATAACTTATAGAGATATCTCAATTATCGACATACCATGTACCTGAACCTCTTCTGGGATTTTATAATTCTTTATATCTAAATACTCTTCAAAAGTATGTGCCTCCTTAGCATGACCATCTTTGCTAATTGCTCCATTTTCGTTCAGAGCTTTTTGTATTAGAATCAAATATCATCACGTTTTAGGTGTGTCATGAATATATCAAATATAATGTCAAGTAATTGTCCTTTCAGGATGTCAATTCGAGTTGAAGTATTTAAAACTGTTGTGTAAGTATTGTTAATCTCTTTAGTTTGTAAATGCATCAAAATGAATTATCTTTCAAATTATCTTTTACGAGAATTTGGATAATAATGCATTTGTACATTATTTATAACTTCTTAATTCCTCCCCCTAATGCTAAGCGAATTGTCTAATCAAATTGACAATCAACAAACTACATTATAAAATATTACTCGTTTGGAATAAGGATTCAAACTACGCATTTATTCTCAGTATTTTTTACTTTTCATCTCAATGCAATGTAATGGATTAATTGTACATATATTGCACTATCAAATAATTAGATGAAGAAAGCAGGTTCTGACCATAATCCAATTATAATATGGAAAACTTGATGTTGGCATAATGTATAATAGCTTTCCCTAAATGAAAATGGAAAGTACTTTGTTCTCAATTAAATTAATTGGAAGAATTTAATAAGAATATTGTTAAACCATTTATCGACATCTCCAGTAACACTTATTAAAATGTTGAGATTTAGGCTCACTAGCATTAACAAGACATACTGTCCTGATTGCGTAATTTAAAAGTTATGTTCATAATTTAAAATTTGAGCAATAATTTCACAAATTTCAGGTTGTGAATACCATGCAATCATCTAGTAGGTGTATCAAATCAATTAGATACAAATAATATTTAGATGATCAATGTGGAGGATGATTGGGCCCCATTTATCATCCTAATTGATTTTCAAAAATATAGGAAATTCAGTCTTATTTTAGCTAATGGCAATCAATGAATAATTTTCAAGAACAAATATCATATAGGAATTATTTGGATCGAAATATCTCATGATTCTTCATTAAATGTCTATTTGAATTTTTAATTTTGCATTATTATTGATCAAGTGATGGTCCAACTAGTCATGCTGAACAATAATACATTCAATAATTGATTTTCTAGTTCAATATAATGTTTGTCATTTGAATAACTATTCAATGAAACAAAAGACGTGACTAATTCTCGGAAAATATGATTAACTATTATATAATTATATAAAAATCAATGTCCACATGACATAAGTTGTATGTTTTTCTTAAAAGATAAACACGAATTTATAAAGTACACATTCATATTCTTGGAGACGTGTTATTACGAGAACATTTTGTGTATTATTATTGCTTATTCAAGATCAATAACATATTATATTTAGAATATAAATTATGCAAAAATAATTACTCCTTGAGAGCAAAACATAATTTATGTTAGATCGTATTTTATTATGTTTTCAGGAGCAAGTAAAATTTAACTAAAATATATGTAAATAATATTGTATTACTTCGGGAACAACGATATTTACAATAGAGAGATCTATGAGTAATATTTTTTTGAAATATAAATTATAATATTGTGCTACTTTAAGAACTCTAAGACGATAAATTATCAATTGAAAATTTATAAAAGAACATCTAAAAAATTTAATAGATTAAAAATATTAATTACTATACACATAAGATATAAAATTATATAAAAAAATCAATTACTAAACATGCATTAGGAAATAGAAATCAAATAAATCTTTACAGGAATGGTAAATTCCAATTTATTGTTCGTTCATTAAAGATTAATTTACTTT